CTACACACGTAAGCTACGCGCTAAAACTACACACGTAAGCTATGCACCAAAACTACACACGTAAGATACGCGCACGTCATTTGCACGCGCGTCAGCGAAACTGTCCCTGTTCAGCTGATCATTGACCTTCAGTTCGATATGCTTCGACTTGTCGTCAGCTGTCTGTGACCTGCCGGTGACCTGTCTATGACCTGCCGGTGACCTGTCTGTGACCTGCCGGTGACCTGTCTGTGACCTGCCGGTGACCTGTCTGTGACCTGCCGACAATGCATACATACCCCTTTGTAGCGTTGACACTTGGTGATTTCGTTTTTAGTAACTCGAATTGCGGACGTTCTCTAATGTACAGTTGCTTAATTAATCCCGATTTGAAATAGGGTGGTGTTTCCATTAGTTCGCGAGGTTGGGGTGGGGGGGGCGTCTGTAACTGATTGCCACTTTTTTCCAGTTGTGTTCATGTGCCCCGATCATTCTTTGCTTAAGCTTAATTACTCGTTCGTCTACTAGTCACTCCTTAGAATAGATTCCTTAGGTTGACAATTGTCTGTAAGTGAGTCTGTCACACGTCGCCTTTTTTGCATATATATATATATATATATAAATAGTTTACCTGTGTGTCACTTACCTGTTTACCTGTGTGTCACTTACCTGTTTACCTGCTACGAGTTTACCTGTGTGTCAGAGTTACCTGCTACGAGTTTACCTGTGTGTCATTTACCTGTTTACCTGTTATGAGTTTACCTGTGTGTCATTTACCTGTTTACCTGTTATGAGTTTACCTGTGTGTGACGCGTAGTTGACTCCAATTGCTACAACTCACTCCCGGGCCCTCCCCCATCTCTCTGTTAATGAAATGCCTTCTGAAATTACTTGGGGCAGAACGCTAATAGTACCACGTATATATATAGAATGCACCTTTCTTCTTCTTACAATTAATGTCGGCTCGATTCTAACGTGATGGTTTTTAGGATCCGAGTGCTTACGTCTGCACTGCAATCGATTTACATAAGTTTTAGCAACAGATAGCTATATATATACTGGTTTCCTGTCAGATATTTTTCACGAGTAGAATTTGCATGCCTACCTAAATGTGATCTTGCTAGAAATCATTCTGTACGGTTATTGTAATACGGAATAGCGCGAAATTTTGTTAACGTCTGTTTTTACCCAGAGAAATTCATCCTCATTGCTATCAAAGTGTAGTCGAGTGAAGTGTGTTTATCTGTCAGCTGGGAGTTCAAAGTGTTGAGAAGTCGTCGTGTGTGTGCAGAATGGTGTTCTTATGAGGTGCTGTTCTCTTCAGGGCAAGTTTTCAAGTAGACAGCCTGCTAGAGAGAGCAACGAACGAAAAACTCGCAAAGGCGGAATGGTGTGTATGTGTTTGAGTACGTGTGCGTGCACTTGTGAGTGCCTGCGTGTGTGTGTAGTTTGTGCATGCGCGTGTGCGTGCGTGCATGTGTGTGGGTGTGTGTGTGTAGGTGCGTGTGTGAGTGGGTGTGTGTGTGTGTCTGTGTAGGTGTGTGGGTATGTGTGTGTGGGAGTGTGCCTACATGCGTGCATGTGCGTGTGTCTGTATACGTGCGTCCATGCATGCGTACCGTTCTCATATATTAATGACTAATGTTAATATATTTGTGGATCAATTTGGATGATATTTCAGTCATTTGTCACGAAATCCTGCAAACCTATGTTATCGACGAAGCACTCTTATGTATATTCCTGTTATACGTGGAATCAATTTGCAATAACCGGGTCTAGCTTTTAGTTCGACTGCACTAGCCTTGATTATAGTTATTACTCAAGATATGAAGAACTGTGGTTGCCCTGTATGCAGTAGTTGTTGTGCTCGTCTGTGCGCAGTAAATAATCGCGTGCGCGTAACCATGGTACCCGAGTCTAGTACCAAACAGCCAGGTGAAACTTAACAGCATAGTCATAGCATAGATCGAAATTTCTTACTAAGGCACAGATTGCCCCATATATTGCAAGTTATTGTTTTCCTGTTAATTATGCTGACCGTGTGGATAGTTCGCAGCTCGACAGATAGTTGCGTGAAGCGTTTGGCAACAGATTCCTTGTCGATATTGTGTATCCGTCTATTTATCCCCGTGGCCTTTGCCTTTTTAGCATCAAGTCAGGATTCATGAACTTGATCTTCCTTGGGTTTTATGACTCAAACACAAAAAGTAGGTTATTAGTCTTGTCTCAATTTATATACCATTCTATGATTATGAATTTGGTCTATACATAAGATAATTTCCTGCAGAGAATAGTAATTACTGGATTGTTCCATGACTTTTCAACTGCGTAACTGTATAATCTCCACTTTGCGAGATTATTGATATTATTCTCATTACAGTTTGCAAAAACAACAACTATGAAAGTATTCATCGCGAATATGATTTAAGATTTTTAACGACCGATAATATTGTTTTGCGAGGCGAGAAAACTCACTTGATTATCGATTCCCGTCAATCTTAATCGCTGCAATGCTCTTATTCTCCTCCAGTCGCCAACGGAGCAGCGACCATCGAAGTCATAGTCGTGAAAATATGCCACAAGAAACGCAAGGTAATGCCAACAACGCAGTAACTGTCGCACCTCTGTAGCTTGCGCGTCCTAGTCTGTAGCTATTTTCGTAGGCGCGCCCAGGTTTTCCACCAGAAAATATATTTTGGGTAAGGACCAAAATGAGGCGGGTTCATTGATTAATTGAGAATAAATGGTTCAGTGGCAAATGGCCACCTTAAGTGGATACCAAATAGTGCATTAAACCAGTGAGCATCATGTTTAAACCAGTGACTTTCTTAATGAATTAATGTGAAATTATGCGAATAATTGTTAATGTATCTTTTTAAAAATACCATATATTATCATTTTCACTCCAAATATTGCTCACATACATAAGCAAGTAATTTTTTACTCAAAACTTTGAGTATGAATCTATACCCTAGAAATATTTTTGGGCATGGATTTTTACCCTTTGGGTACCCAGGAGGGTATCCTGGCGGAAATTCTGACGCCACGTCCCGTGCCCGCTCGTGTAACCGACGCGGCACGTCTCTGTCACAGGAGGTGTCATCGCCGTCCAAGCACATACAGATCGGGTCGGTGGAGGTGCCATACAACCCGGACGGTAGCCATGCCGGCCCGACGAGCGCCGTCTCTGTGCCCAGCGACAGCTTCAACCTCAACAACGGCCACAGCGTCAAGTCATACACGATGCTGCTTCGCGCCACCGCGCAGCCCTCCGGCCGCGCCGCCGCCGCCGCCAGCCCGATCATGTGCAACGGAGACGCGAGCGAACTAGGTGGCGCTCTTTGTCGAGTAGCGATTTCGCGCGATTACAATGAGGGGGGAGGGTACGAGACGTCGTTGCGTTTCAGGGTGTGAAATTAACCTTTATTACCTGGTAGACATATGGATTACTAGATTTTGTAATCTGGTAGTCCGTGAGCAATTCTGGTAGTTCAAATGTTTTTTTGGATAGAGGTTCAATTTGACTGTAATATTCTGGTTAAAAACATTTACAAGTTATTGCCATTTATAAAAACCTCTTTCTTTATTGATTAAAAATCCTGATCTTCTGCGATAGCTAGTTTTGCAAAAACGAGTGGTGTCCATCTACACGAAAGCACAGCTACAAACATAGCTGCGCCCATGTCAATCAATTACTCAACGTGCTTGATATAGAATATCAGTTTTAAGTCATAGCTGACAATTAATGGGGGTTAACGTATTTAATGTGAGGTTATATCAGAACTTACCGGAAAGATAAATAAATTAAATCATCAGTTTATTCGTCCTTGTCAGTCAAAAATGAATAGAGTCACGTTAAGTTAGCTAGTCCACCGGACTAGTTTTGACTGTAATCTACTCGTCCGTGTGTAAATCTAGTAGTTTTTGACTACCGGACTACCGTTAATTTTGCACCCTGGCGTTTTGTCGCATGGTTACGGTGGTTGTTCTAGATGTCAGGCGATCGGAAAATACGAAGTGAGCCTTGGCTTGTGTGCAGTGCGAAGTGTTGCTTCAGTTTGTGTGAGTGGAATGTAAAGTTTCAATTTATGGTTGCAGAGAGGTTTACTTCGCTTTGTGCGAGTAGAGGAAGTGGTCTTAGTTTTTGTGCGAGTAGAGAGGGTGGTCTTAGTTTACGCGTGCGCAGTGAGGGTGGTCGTAGTTAGTACACGCAGCGGCGGCATCCTCTGTCCGCACCCCCGCACGCTCACGTCCGCATCGCTTCCGTCCGTTCGTACGCGCGGTGGCGGCGGCATCCTCTGTCCGCACCCCTGCACGCTCACGTCCGCATCGCTTCCGTCCGTCCGTACGGGCGGCGGCGGCGGCGGCATCCTCTGTCCGCGCCCCCGCACGCTCACGTCCGCATCGCTTCCGTCCGTCCGTACGGGCGGCGGCGGCGGCATCCTCTGTCCGCACCCCCGCACGCTCACGTCCGCATCGCTTCCGTCCGTCCGTACGGGCGGCGGCGGCATCCTCTGTCCGCACCCCCGCACGCTCACGTCCGCATCGCTTCCGTCCGTCCGTACGCGCGGCGGCGGCATCCTCTGTCCGCCACGGATCTCGTCGTTGCACAGAAGGACGTCAGAGGGAGAAGCGAGCCGGACAAGGCAAAGAAGCCGGGCGGAGGCGACGCCGGCCACCACCGGACCCGAATCCGACCGCCGCGGTCGCCGTGACGAACGGAGCCCGTCAAAGCGTCGTGCTGTGCATCTCTACGGCAGGCTTCGCTGTACGGCATCAGCAACAATACGGCAGCCAAGACGAGGCGCGCGAGCGAACGACTGCACTGCGCCCTGGTGGCTCGCTCAACTGGATGGCAGCTGTACAGCCTACTGAGAGGCCAAGCCCAAGCTTTCTGGCCACAGCCGGCTTCACATTCAGCCTACGTGGTGAGCGGCCTAAAGAGGGCGTAGTGTGTGCCGGCCTGGTATGCGTGCGTTTGGTGTGTGGCGTGAGGGTGTGGGAGCGGGGGGGACGCATAGCGTGCAGTGTGTTGCATGTGTGAGCCGTGTGTGCGTGTGTGTGTGCGTGTGTGACGTGGCGTGTGCGTGTGCACCGGGGCGTGCGTCGTGCGTGTGATGGCCTGTGCGGTGTGTGTGTGTTGTGTAGTGTGCGGCAGCTATCAAACTGTCCTCCGTCTCTCTCCTGAGAGCGCTCGGTTTCGTCGGCAGAGCGCCGCTGCGAAGGAGGCAACGCATCGAGGTGGCGATCAACCGGACTGCTAACGACGCCTGCGTCAACACAGGCAAGCGCCTCAGACGCTCGTCGCAATCACAGACCCAGGCAACTGCTAAACCGGGCAGGAACGGCCCCGTGCGCCGCAGCGAGGTCACACAGCTGCTCGTTATCAGGTGAGTGCAGCGAGGTCACCCAGCTGCTCGTTATCAGGTGAGTGCAGCGAGGTCACGCAGCTGCTCGTTATCAGGTGAGTGCAGCGAGGTCACCCAGCTGCTCGTTATCAGGTGAGTGCAGCGAGGTCATCCCACACTGCTCGTTATCAAGGTGAAGGTGCAGGCGAGGTCAGCCCAGCTGCTCGTTATCAGTCGAGTGGCAGCATGCAGGTCACTGCAGCTGCTCGTTAATCAGGCTGAGTGCCAGCGAGGTCACCAGACCAGCCTCGTTATCAGGTGAGTGCGGCGAGGGTCACCTAGCTGCTCGTTAATCACAGGTGAGTGCAAGCGAGGTCACGGCAGCCCTGCTCGTTATGCAGGTGAGTGGTGACAAGCGTGGGAGGGTGATGCTTCAGTTTGTGCTGTGAGGCAGAAAAGGGTCGGTTCAGAGAGGCCGAGAGGGTGGCGTGGAATATGTGGCGTGCGTACGTGGGTGCATGTGTGCGTGCGTGCCTGCCGTGCGTGTGTGTGTGTGCCAAGCAGCGGCAGCAATTAACTTCTACAATAGGCTGTGTGGAAACATGCCTTGCGATGTGTAGGCATATATCTAATTAACAGGGCCCAAACGAGACAAGCTACGCTAGTCTGAAGCGACGTTCTTAGATACGGGACGAACCAGCAGGACCTAACCGACGGAGCAGTCAGACCGTACATCTCTGGACACAATAAGCACGTATTATGAGAAATCTAATAAAAATGATCATGGGAAAGACATTTTGTCGCATCGTCCGTCACCCATGTCAAAAATATCGTTGTTCTAGAAAGTAATAAGCACTTGTCCTATTAGTATTCATAAAGTAGTTTGTTACTTTACTGTGCAGTAATACTATAATTAGCTACCAAGCGCTGGACACGGGCCCTGAATGATTCAGATTCAACGATTACATCTCCAGGGCTGTCTTCGAGTATTAATTATTAATTTATTAATTATTACTCATTAGTACTACCTGCGTGTTGGTAATTAATAAACTAATTGCACGTTAATTAATCTTGTCGTTGGCAGATTATATTATCACACTGACAGCAACCGTCCTGTGCGCAGCTAGACGAGGAGGAGGTGGACAAGCGATGAATGAGGTGGATCCAGACTGCTAACGCAACCAGAACTATCGACGTAAGCTACGGCACCAAAACTATGACAGCGCTCAAGCTATTCACCAAAACCATACACGTAAGATACCCGCAAAACATAGACACACAGAGACTACGCGCCAAAACACAAACGTAAGATACTGCGCCAAAAACTACACACCGTAAGCCTCACGCACCAAAAACTACAACACGTAATCTCAGCGCGCGCAAAACACTAACACGTAAGATACGCGCCCCAAAACTACACACGACTAAGCTACCGCGCCAAAAACCCATCACACGTAAGCTACGGACCAAAACATACACCACGTAAGACTTACGCGCACAAAACCCAAACACGTAGAGCTACAGCCAACCAAAACCTACACATCGTAAGACACGGCGCCAAAAACTATACACGTAAGCTACGCGCCAGCAAAACTACACACGTAAGCTACGCGCCAAAACTACAGACACGTAAGGCTACGCAAAACGATACATCAAGACCGCCAACAAACAAGGTACGACATACTAAACGTCAAGCCGCAAAACTATGACATCGTAAGCTAGCGCGGCCAAAGCTACAAACGTAAGCCTTAAACGCACGCAAAACTATACACGTAAGCTACGCGCCAAAACTACACACGTAAGCTACGCGCCAAAACTACACACGTAAGCTACGCACCAAAACTACACACGTAAGCTACGCACCAAAACCGACACACGTAAGCCTACGCACACATAAACTAATACACGTAAGGCTACGCGACGAGGAGACACTACACCCGTAAGCTACGCACCAAAACCACACGCGTAAGCTACGCACCAAAACTACACACATAAGCTACGCACCAAAACTATAAACGTAAGCTACGCGCTAAAACTACACACGTAAGCTAATGGCAACCAAAACTACACACGTAAGATACAGCGCACCATGCATTTGCGACGCGCGTCCAGCGGAAACTGTCCCTGTCAGCTGATACATTGACGCTTCAGTTCGATATCTTCGACTTGTGCGTCAGCATGCTGTGACCTGCCGGTGACTGCTGTCCATGACCTGCAGACGGTGGACCCTGTCCTGTGACGCCTGCTCGTGACATGTCTGGTACGCTGCCGAACAATAGCATGAACATACCCGCTCTTAGTAGCGTTGACAACTTGGTGATTTCGTTTTTAGTACTCGTGAATTGCGGAACGTTCTTCTTAAATGTACAGTTGCTGTAATTAATCCCGGAATTTGAATAGGAGTGGTGTTTCCAATTCATCTCGGCGCAGGTATGGGGGGTGGGGGGGCGTCGGTCAACTTGATTCGCCACATTTTCCAGTTGTGTCATTGTGCTCCCGATACATTCTTTGCCTTAAGCTTAATTACTCGTTCCGTCTACTAGTCCCCACATGCCTTAGAAAGATTCGCTTTAGTTGACAATTGTCTGTAAAGTGAGTCTGTCACGCCGATCGCTTTTTTCTGCATATATATATAATACTATATAAATTAATGTAGAAAGACATACACATTAATGTGTTAGGCATGTAACACTTAATTCTGTTTCTAATTTATTTTCGTATCTACACATGTGTCTTGTGTGCTTTTACTTTTATAGTAATTGTTTATTCTATATATCATATATATATATATTATATATATTATATATATATATAAGTAACAAAGCACCGGACACCCATGGAAGGGATAAGAAGAATTTAAAAATTGAAATAGTGTCAAAATTTTAATACTTGAGGCTTTCGACGAACATATGTCTCTTCGTCAGAGCCGACAACAACAGAAGGGAAACACGTTATTTTGATAAATGATGACCAATGGATGAGGCACATACCCTGGCGTACCATTGTATATGCGGCGTTCATTATTTATCTATTATAATATGTATGTTGAGCAGACGTACACAGCGCCGCACCGATCATCTATGATAGTATATCTACATCCGTACGCTTGCTGTTCGTTGCAGATGATTGATGAGTTTTAGGCGACGTTGAACAGAGGGATGAGACACGGAACGTCAGCGAAGCTGTGGAAGCTCACAGTACTGGAAGCAACAGTAAGTGTAATCAGTGATCTCACTCTGCTCATACAACGATCACACACACTCTCGTCTCTCTCTCGTTCCTGTCTTTCTTCCGCTTTCTTTCCTCCTCTGCTCTCTTTCGACGCTCTCTCTTTCCCTTTCTTTGCGCCCG